AAAAGAAGAAGAAAGACTTTAAGAAAGAATGGATAGCATAGCAAGATTGTCTCAACAAAAATTTTTTTTTTTTTTTCTTTTTTTTAATACTAGGCCAAGCACAGTAGCTCATACCTATAATACCAGCACTTTGGGAGGCCAAGGCAGAGCTGATCACTTGAGCTCAGGAGTAGACTAGCCTGGGCAACATGGTTGAAACCCCGTCTCTATGACAAATAAAAAAATTTTTAAACTGGGTATGGTGCTGCGCACCTGTAGTCTCAGCTGCTTGCGAGGCGGAGGAAGAAGAATCACTTGAACCTGGGAGGTTGAGGCTACTGTTAGCTCTATTTGCACCACTGCAGTCCAACCCATCTTTTTAAAAAAAAAAAAAAAAAGTAGTACTTTAAGAAGGACCACTTACACAGCAAAGGAAACAACGCTGTGCAGACACAGCCTACAGACTGGGAGAAAATGTTGATAAGCTGTACATCTGATAAGGGACTAATATAGTCATATATAAGGAGCTCAGACAATAGCAAGAAGAAAAAAACAATTAGAAAATGGTCAAAGGACCCGAATAGATATTTCTCAAAAGAAGACATAAAAATGGCCAACAGATATATGAAAAAATACTCAACATCAGTGATCATTAGGAAAATGCAAATTAAAACCACAAAGAAATATCATCCCATACCTCTCAGAATGACTGTTGTCAAAAAGATGAAAGATAAGTAGGCCAGGCGTGGTGGCTCAAGCCTGTAATCCCAGCACTTTGGGAGGCGGAGGCGGGTGGATCACGAGGTCAAGAGATCAAGACCATCCTGGTCAACATGGTGAAACCCCGTCTCTACTAAAAATACAAAAAATTAGCTGGTGGCGCGTGCCTGTAATCCCAGCTACTCAGGAGGCTGAGGCAGGAGAATTGCCTGAACCCAGGAGGCGGAGGTTGCGGTGAGCCAAGATCGCGCCATTGCACTCCAGCCTGGGTAACAAGATCGAAACTCCAACTCAAAAAAAAAAAAGATAAGTATTGGTGAGAATGTGGAGAAAAGGGGAACTGTGTATGCTATTGGTGGGAATGTAAATTAGTATAGTCATTATGGAAAATATATGGATGTTCCTCAAAAATCAAAACATAGAATTACCATATGATTCAGCAGTCCTCCTTCTGGGTATTTTCCCAGAAGCTTTGAAATCAGATGTCTGTGCTCCGTGTTCATTGCACCACTTTTCACAACAGCCAAGTTATGGATTCAACCTAAGTGCCCATCAATAGATAAATGAATAATATGGTGTAGATATACACAGTGGAATACTGTTCAGCCTTTAAAAAGCAGAAAATTGTGTCATTTGTGACAACAGAGATGGAAATGGAGAACGCTATGCTGAGTGAAATAAGCCAGGCACAGAAAGACAGATACAGCATGTTCTCACTTCTTTTTGGAATGTAAAACAAGCTCATACAGACAGAGAATAGAAGGGTGGCAACTGAGGCTGCAGGCTGGGGAGAGTGAAGTGATGATGGACAAAGGGCATAAAATCTCAGTTAAACACAATGAATATGTTTTTATTTTTAATTGAACATGGTGAATATAGTTAATAATAGAGTATTGTAATGGTGAGTATAGTTAATAATAGTATTGTACAGCATGGTGAATATAGAATATTGTACATGTCAAAATTGCTAAGAGTAAATTTCAAATGTTTTCATCATAAAATATATTAAGTATTTGAGATGATGGATATGTTAACTGGCTTGATTTAATTATTCCACATTATATTCATAAATCATAGCATCACTCTGTACCCCATAAATTTATACACTTATAACTTGTCAATTTACAACGTAGAAAAAAAACGATGAAGACTTACAGTGTAACCTTTAGATTGGAACCTAGGCACAATGACTACCTCCATAAATGAGGACACTCAAATAACCTCTTATCTCTGTTGTAGCTCCAACCTTTTGTAAAAAGGAATTCATTTCAGTTTTCCACCAAGTTTGTAAGGAGAAATTTTCAGTTCACCACAGCTCTATTTTAGTTCCTATTACTTGTCTGGTGACTTCTGTTTGTTTGTTTGTTTGTTTGTTTTGGAGATGGAGTCTCACACTGTCACCCAGCATACAGTACAATGGCGCAATCTCGGCTCACTGCAACCTCCATCTTCCGGGTTCACTCGATTCTGCCTGAGCCTCCCTAGTAGCTGGGATTACACCACCACACCTGGCCTTTTTTTTTTTTTTTTTTTTTTTTTTTTTTTTTTGTATTTTTAGTAGAGACGGGGTTTCCGCCCACCTCAGCCTCCCAAAATGCTGGGATTACAGGCATGAGCCATGCCCAGCCGATTCTTTCATATATGTAAATTGTGATTTTTTTATTTGTCTTTGGTGTTTTGTTTTTTGTTTGTTTATTTTTGAGACAGGGTCTCATTCTGTAGCCCAGGCTGTGGTGCAGTGAAATGATCACGATTCACTGCAGCCTCAAATTCCTGGGCTCAAGCAGTCCTCCCACCTCAGCCTCCCAAATAGCTGGGACTGTAGGCACACACCACCATGCCTGGCTAACTTTTTTTTGTAGAGACCACTGTTGCCACATTGCCCAGGCTGGTCTTGAACTCCTGAGCTTAAGTGATCTTCCCGCCTTGGACTCCCAAAGTGCTGGCATTACAGGTATGAGCCACCATGCCTGGCCTTCATGACTGTTTAATGAGTGCTCTGCACTCAGTCACTTTCAATTCAGATAAGTATGTTCATTTGCCAAACCAAAGAACTATGTTTCAAACATTCCCCCAAAACATGGTATTTCTCCTATTTCTCAACCTTGACAATAGAGTTAAAGAGTAATTTTTCCAACTCTTTTCTACTTTTCAGTTCTTAAGCAATTCTGTCAAGCCTAAAACTAATTTTATTTTTCATTTAAAATTTGGCATGCATTTTCAGCATTGTTGTTTTTATTCCTTTGGACCTAAACTAGAAAGCAATCAAATTATAATTCTTGGATGCTGAAATATGGCTCTCATTTAATTTTAGTTTAGTTTTTTTGTTTGTGGTTTTTTTGTTGGTTTTTTGTTTTGAGATGGCATTTTGCTCTTGTTGCTCAGGCTGAAGTGCAGTGGTGCGATCTCGGCTCACTGCAACCTCTGCCTCCCAGGTTCAAGTGGTTCTCGACCCTGCCACAGCCTCCCGAGTAGCTGGGATTACAGGCATGCACCACCACGCCAGGCTAATTTTTTGTATTTTTAGTAGAGGTAGAGTTTCTCCATGTTGGTCAGGCTGGTCTCGAACTCCCAACCTCAGGTGATCCACCCAGCCTCCCAAAGTTGTAGGATTACAGGTGTCAGCCACCATACCCGGCCTTATTTTTTTAGTTTTTATAGCATAATAAACACCTGTGGACCGCCAACACAAAATTAAGTATGTTGACATTAACCCACATCTAACCATGCAATTTTAGAACCACTGAAATCTTAAATATAATTTTACTGCAGTTAGCATTTTTTTTTTTTTTTTTTTTTGAGACAGAGTCTTGTGCACAGTCCAGAGTGCAATGGTGCGATCTCAGCTCACTGCAGCCTCCACCTCCTAGGTGCAAGCAGTTCTCCTGCCTCAGCCTCCTGAGTAGCTGGGATTACAGGTGCCTGCCACCATGCCTGGCTAATTTTTGTATTTTTAGTAAAGCTGGGGTTTCACCATGTTGGCCAGCTGGTCTCAAACTCCTGACCTCAGGTGATTTCACCCGCCTCGGCTTCCCAAAGTTCTGGGATTACAGGTGTGAGGCACTGTGCCAGCCATAGTTAGCATTTCTTTAAGGACTGCATGATTGAGTTTTTAATAAAAATATGGTAGTCCCAATCCTTATGACGGAATATGTTCCCAGTAAGTAAATTATATGTTGACTGAGCACGCACTGTTGGAATAAATGTGTTTAAAAGTCATATGTTCACCTTCTAAGCTATGTGGCCTTAGACAAATTAATCAGTTACCCTTAACCCTATTTCATAATCTGTAAAATTGGGAGAATAGCTATCTTAAAGAGTTTCCTAAGGAATAAAGTAGTATGTGTGCCATCATCTAGTGGTTAATGTGTTTTTACGGTTTTAATTGTCAGCTCTTGTCTGAGCATTTCAACATGCATGCGTGAATGCTCCACTTCACCCACTAGATGGCACTAGTTTGTTGCTAAATGCAGTGCTGACTGCTCTGGCTAGTTCACGTGAATCATTGCTATTAGGGGAAACATTTGAAAGGGCTGGTAAAGACTGTGAAAGTGTTATAAAGTTGATTTTAGGTAAAATGAGAAAGAATTACTTGTGCTGTGGAAACATCAGTTTACAACATAAACACAAAAAAAATTAAATAGTAAAACAGGTTAAGGAATAGTTTAATGGTCAGATCATGCAGAGCTTTTTAAACTATATTAGTTTGCATTTAGTTCCAAGTGCAGTGGAAAGCCATTGATAAATTTTAAGCAGAGAGTCGTTAGGATGTCATTTTTCTTTTTTAAAATGTCATTCTAGTGCTTCTGTTTTTGAAAGATACCATTAAAGAGATTGAAAATAGCATAAACTTGAAAATATTTACAGCACATAAACAAATGACTTACCTAGATTATATATAGAATTCCTCACAGAAAGGGGAGTACTAAACACTGGGGTCTATTGGGGGGAAAAGGGGAGGGCCAGTGGGAGGGGGAGGTGGGGAGGGATAGCCTGGGGAGAAATGCCAAATGTGGGTGAAGGGGAGAAGGGAAGCAAAGCACACTGCCATGTGTGTACCTACGCAACTGTCTTGCATGCTCTGCTCATATACCCCAAAACCTAAAACCCAATAAAAAATTAAAAAAAAGAATTCCTGTAAATCTCTAAAAAAAAAGACAAAACAATAGAAAGCTGATAAACACTTGAAAAAGGAATTAACAAAAGAAATTCCAGATGGCCAGTAAACATGGAAAGATGTTCAACCTCTTTTAGTAGTCAGGGAAAGCAAATGAAAATCATAGTAAGAAACTATTACATACCTACATGCTTGGTAAAAATTTGTAAATGTGATCATTCCAAGAGTTGACAAGGACATTCACAGCAACGGGACACTACTGTGGAAAAGTAAATTGATTCCTTCAATGCCGCCTGGGTGGGTAGAAAAGAAAAGAAAAAAAAAGTAAATTGATACAGTCACTTTGGAAAGGTGTAGTTAAGGAACAGATGATACACCCAGAGCAGAAATTCAGGATTTCCACTCCGAATTAAATATCCTAGGAAAACCATGCACAGTGTAACAGTATCTTTCATACAAGACCACAGCAGCATTGTTTGTAACTGACAAAAACTGGAAACAACACAAATGTTCATCAGCTAGACATGGATAAGCAAATGGAGGTGTTTTTAATATACTGGAATGCCATAAAACAACAAAATGAAAGTTCTCCAACAGTCTCATCCACAGAAGGGATATCTTAAAAACATAATGTGGAGCATAAAAAGTAAGGTAGAGGCTGGGCACGGTGGCTCACGAGGTCAAGAGATCGAGACCATCCTGGTCAACAAGGTGAAACCCCATCTCTACTAAAAATACAAAAATTAGCTGGGCATGGTGGTCCGTGCCTGTAGTCCCAGCTACTCAGGAGGCTGAGGCAGGAGAATTGCTTGAACCCAGGAGGTGGAGATTGCAGTGAGCCGAGATCGTGCCATTGCACTCCAGTCTGGGTAACAATAGCGAAAAACTCCGTCTCAAAAAAAAAAAGAATGCATATGGTATCATTCTATTCAGATAAGATTTAAAGCCTTGGCAATATGAAACTGTATTATTTAAGAATGCGTACTTAAGTCATAAATGAAAAGACAAATAAGAAATTGCATGAGAATGGTGGTGACCTCTGAAGAGGAGACAAGAGGCTGCTGGGGTGATGGGTGTGCTCTTTCTCCACCAGTATGGTAGTTAACTTTGCACATGTCCTTTATATTTATTCATCCAACTATACTTTATATTTTATATACATTTTCTGCATGTTTTTTATTTCACAATATTAAAAATACACTCATACTGACTCCTAGGTGGAGAATGGATTATTCATGGGCAATAATGGAAAGTAATGTAGGTGAGAGAATGGGAGCAGGGGATTGGACCAGGGCCACAGTGGTAGTAGAGATGGAGAGAAATAGATCCAGGAGGCAGGACTCATGGGACTTGCTAACAGACTGTTTCTTCTTGTTCTTTATGATAGTTCATAAACCAGAAAAGGTTACATGGACAGAAGCAGCAGGAACCATTCGGGATGGAGTGCGTGCCTATACAGCTCTGCATTATCTTTCTCATCTCTCTGCTGGGAAATCAGTGCTGATAATGGATGGAGCAAGTGTAGGTGCTAATGGTTTTGTTAAGAAACAGACCAACAGCCAGGCACGGTGGCTCATGCCTGTAATCCCAGAACTTTGGGAGGCCAAGGTGGGCGAATCCACGAGGTCAGGAGATCGAGACCATCCTGGCTAACACGGTGAAACCCGGTCTGTACTAAACATACAAAAAGTTAGCTGGGCGTGGTGTCAGGTACCTGTCATCCTAGCTACTCAGGAGGCTGAGGCAGGAGAATCACTTGAACCTAGGAGGCAGAGGTTGCAGTGAGCCAAGATCGTGCCACTGTACTGTAGCCTGGCAACAGAGCAAGACTCAGTCTGGAAAAAACAAAAGAAAGTAAGTAGCATACAGTAAACTTAGGGAATTTAGCAATGAGCCATCCATTTGCTAATATAATTCTTTGCCAGTATCTTATTAATTGACTTTTATTTCAGCATCCTATTTTGTTATAATAAGCAGTTTTTATCAATAGACGATCAACGTTAGATTTAGTGTGATTTGTTTATTGCTTTGAATCTGCTGGTACATTAAAAAGCAGACAATCCATTTTTATTCATTCCTGTTACACAAACTAAGATACCACATGAGCCTTTGAAGTCATTGTCCAGAGGTCCCTACCAGTTTTGTAGCCTATTTCCCACCCTTACAATTATGTTGATCAAGTATTGGCATTTTATAGATAGATGGATCACACCAAAGATCAACATGTCCTAATTTAAACATGTTATATATATTAAAAAATAGTTCAAGACACTAAAAGAATACATAAAATATTATAATCTAAAAATGTTAAGAAAAACTTGAACTTGGGCCGGGGCGTGTTGGCTCACGCCTGTAATCCCAGGACTTTGGGCGGCTGAGGCGGGTGGATCATGAGGTCAAGAGATCGAGACCATTCTGGTCAACAAGGTGAAACCCCATCGCTACTAAAAATGCAAAAAATTAGCTGGGCATGGTGGCGGGTGCCTGTAATCCCAGCTACTCAGGAGGCTGAGGCAGGAGAATTGCCTGAACCCAGGAGGCAGAGGTTGCGGTGAGCCGAGATCATGCCATTGCACTCCAGACTGGGTAACAAGAGCGAAACTCTGTCTCAAAAAAGAAAAAAGAAAAACTTGAACTTATAGTTTTATTTTCTAACTGGCTTGTGATGAAAATGCTTTTTTCCTGCTTCTCTTAGAAGAAAAGGCAGAACTGTCTTCAGCATTGGCCTCAGCCTGATGTCCAGCATCAGGATGGTAGTGTTTCCCTGAACTTACCCCATAGGTCTGAACAGGATGGAGCTTTTGAAGTGCTTTGATCTTCAAAGAGAGGTGGCTGGATTCCCACATATACTACACAGTTAGCTTAGACCATCACATTGACAAGACCCAGTTTTCTCTTTGCAAGGCCATGTGTCTGAATGAGGCTTTTCATTCTTGAAATTATGTGCTGTGGTCAGACTGGGTGACAGCAGGTGACATGCAGCGTTTCCACTGGCCCTTGAAAAGAAGAAAGTCACCCAAACATTTCCCCTACTAAACTTGCCCAAAACTTTGCTCTTTTCCTATTAGATAATATTTTTAAATATACTAAAGTAACACTAAAGAATTGCCCTTTATTAAATAATCTAAAGAAATCAATTAGAAATGGCCTCTGCCCTAAAACCATACACCCACTGCATATTTTTTTCTACACAGGCATTTGGTACCATAGCTATTCAGTTAGCACATCATAGAGGAGCCAAAGTGATTTCAACAGCATGCAGCCTTGAAGATAAGCAGTGCCTTGAAAGATTCAGACCTCCCATAGGTGGGTAATACTACTCAGCACAGACTTTAAAACAGAAAATTCTGAAGGAAAATCACCTTTAAAAATCTGCTTGGAAAACCAAGTACAAAATCCTTGGCCAGGCGCAGTGGCTCATGACTATAATCCCAGCACTTTGGAAGGCCAAGGTGGGAGGATCACTTGAGCCCAGGAGTTTGAGACCAGCCTCAGCAACATAGGAAGACCATCTCTGTATAATATTTAAAAAAAAAAAAAAGAATTTATAAAATCCCAAATGAAAGGCAGTTTAAAAATGCAGTGAATATGTGTGCTATCTCCCAATTTACTTTTTTTTTTTTTTTGAGACAGGGTCTCACTCTGTCACCCAGCTGGAGTACAGTGGCACAATCATGGCTCACTGCAGCATGGGCCTTGCCAGGCTCAGGTGATCCTGCCGTCTCAGCCTCCTGAGTAGCTGGGACTACAGACATAGGCCATCACACCTGGCTAATTTTTTGTATTTTTTATAGAGACAGGGTTAGCCATGTTGCCTAGGCTGGTCTCAAACTTCTGAGCTCAAGCATTGCACCCACCTCGACCTCCCAAAGTGCTAGAATTACAGTCATGAACCACAATACTCAGCCCGAATTTACTTAAGTGATAGTTTTAATTTCAATTATTTGTTTTTTAAAACTTACATTTTTCAGTGTTTTTTTCCTCTTTGCCCCATTGTTATCAGCAATTTATTCAACTTTGAATTAGGTGAACTTTGATGCAGTTTAGAAACGCCTGATGCAGGCTAAGTGTGGAAGAACTAGAGACAAGCCTCAGAGAGCCAGCTTGTCCAAGGATATATACCTTGTAAAGGACTGGAATGAGATTTGAGTCCAGGCCTGTCTGACAATAAAGCTCACATTATGCTTGTTACATTAAGCATATGCTTGTTACATTAAGCATTGTTACATTATGCTTGTAACAGAGAGAACCAAGAAATAGAAGAAAGGTAATACAGGGGGCTAGAGAAAGGAGGAGAAAAGGAAAAAGAAGAGATTTGAAAATAGAATGGAGAAAAAGAGCATGGGCGGGGCTCAATGACTTGCACCTGTAATCCCAACACTTTAAGAGGCCAAGGCTTGTGGTTCACTTGAGGTCAGAAGTTTAAGACCAGCCTGCAACATGGTGAAACCCTGTCTATATTAAAAATACAAAACTTAGGCCAGGTGCGGTGGCTCACGTCTATAATCCCAGCACTTTGGGAGGCCGAAACAGGCAGATCACCTGAGGTTGGGAGTTTGAGACCAGCCTGACCAACATGGAGAAACCCTGTCTCTACTAAAAATACAAAATTAGCCGGGCATGGTGGTACATGCCCGTAATCCCAGCTACTCGAGAGGCTGAGACAGGAGAATCACTTGAACCTGGGAGGCAGAGGTTGCAGTGAGCCAAGATTGCGCCATTACACACCAGCCTGGATAACAACAGCGAAACTCTCTCAAAAAAAAAAAAAAATACAAAAAGTAGGCTGGGCATGGTGGCTCATGCCTATAATCCCAGCACAGTGAAACCCTGTCTCTACTAAAAAACAACTCTTAGCTATGTGTGGTCCCAGCTACTCTGGAGGTTGAGGCAGGAGAATCACTTAAACCCAGGAGGCAGAGGTTGCAGTGAGCCAAGATTGCGCCACTGCACTTCACCCTGGGCCACAGAGCGAGACTCCATCTCAAAAAAAAAAAAAAAAAAAAGCAAAAATTAGCGGGGCATGTTGGTGGGTGCCTGTAATCCCAGCTCCTCAGGAGGCTGAGGCAGGAGGATTGCTTGAACCTGGGAGGTAGAGGTTGCAGTGAGCCGAGATCCAGCCTGGGCAACAGAGCGAGATTCCATCTCAAAAAAAAAAGCATGAATGAAGGGAAAATTTCTTATTGGTTAATTTGCCCTTCCTAGATTGCTTTGCCCCCTTTTCCTTTTGTTCCCTTCCTCCTTTCCAAATCCTAGATTAACTCTGTTGAACTGTATCTCTAATTTGAGCAGCTCTAAGAGGGATTCTCTTCAACAAGAAGGTGTTAAGAGATACAGAAAGGAAATCAAACATTTTATTAGTTCCCAGTTCAAAATTCTGAGAATTATTTTTAATTCTCTCAATAATTTATAGTCTATTACTATGATATTACTGATATACTTTAATGCAGCTAGTTAAAATCAATTTAATTTTTACTGACTGCTAAAAATCATGTTCCTTTTCCTTAGCTTTAAGATTTTTCTTCATTTGGGAGAGTAAGTGGGAAAGCGGGGAGGATTTCTATGACTGAGAAAGGGTGAAACAGCCTCTAGTAGATAATTACCATATTTTACAAATACAGACAGTCTCCAGCTGACAGTGTTTGGATGTAGGATTTTTTTTTTTAATATTATGATGGGTTTATTGGGGTAGTCTAAGTGCGCTTTTGACTTACAGTGGGTTTATTGGGACGTAGCCCATTGTAAAGATAAGGGTCATCTGTATATTTTTATGCTTTTTAGCTCTAATCACTATTAAATGTGAACATACTTGAGAAACTACTTAATCTAGCTGGGTATGGTGGCTCACACCTATAATCCCAGAGCTTTGGAAGGTCAAGGCAGAGTATCACATGAGGCCAACAGTTCAAAAATAGCTTAGGCAACATAGCAAGACCCTGTCCCTACAAAAAATTAAAAAATTAGCCAGGCATGGTGGCATATACCTGTAGTCCTAGCTACTTGGAAGGCTAAGGCAGGAGAATTGCTTGAACTCAAGAGTTCAAGGCTACAGTGGGCTGTGATCATGCCACTGTACTCCATCCTGGGCAATGGAGTGAGACCCTGTCTGAAAAAAAAAAAAACTTCCAGTTTATGTCTTATTATATATGTACCTCTGTGTTTTCAGATTCCTAATTCTGGCAACATATCCTATAGCTGTAGAGAATAGTGCCCTGTGTCAACAGACCAGCATTGGATCACCTTATCCACAAATGTTCACATTTTAATTTTTTTTTTTTTTTTTTTTGAGATGGAGTCACGCTCTGTAGCCCAGTCTGGAGTGCAGTAGCACAATCTCAGCTCACTGCAACCTCTGCCTCCTGGGTCCCAGTTCAAGCAGTTCTCCTGCCTCAGCCTCCCAAGTAATTGGGATTACAGGCATGCATCACCATGCCCAGCTAATTTTTGTATTTTTAGTAGAAACAGGGTTTCACCATGTTAGCCAGGCTGGTCTTGAACTCCTGACCTTGTGATCCATCCACCTCAGCCTCCCAAAGGGCTGGGATTACAGGTGTGAGCCACCGCACCCAGCCACATTTTAATTTTTTTTTGAGACAGAATCTCGCTTTGTCGCCAGGTGCTAGGCTGGAGTACAGTGCCGCAGTCTCGGCTCACTGCAATGTCTGCCTCCTGGGTTCAAGCAGTTCTGCTTCAGCCTCCCGAGTAGCTGAGACTACAGGCGAGCGCCACCACCCCCAGCTAATTTTTGTATTTTTTGTAGAGATGGGGTTTTACCATATTGACCAGGATGGTCTCGATCTCTTGACCTCATGATCCGCCTGCCTCAGCCTCCCAAAGTGCTGGGATTACAGGCGTGAGCCACTGCACCCGGCCACATTTTAATTTTATTGAATATACAAGTCTCTTCATTTAGACTGCTATATCCCATATTGGGTTAGATGAGAAAAAGTGTAATTTAAATTGACTTTTTCCCTTTAAATTCAGTAATTGTTTGAATTGCTTAACTCATTTCAGAGAATATTTATTTGCTTTTCTTTTTCTTTTTCCTGATTTGTTTGTGTTGATCACATAGAGAACAGTACAATTGCCTGATTTCCTGTCCTTTACAGCCCGAGTGATTGATGTATCTAATGGGAAAGTTCTTGTTGCTGAAAGCTGTTTGGAAGAAACAGGTGGCCTGGGAGTAGATATTGTCCTAGATGCTGGAGGTAGGTACCTTATGAAATTAGTAGCCTGTGTAGTTGTTTTAGTTTGATGAATTTAAGAGAAAAATATAACCAGGGAATAATTATTAATGTATTTATTAAACTGGGTGTTCAGTTTTGGGTTTTGTTTTTAACTAAAGACTTTTTAACTGAAATTGGAACTTCATGTTATTCCCATTATAAGCACTGTGTGTAAGAGAGAACATTCTTATCTTTTACCAGTGTAGACCAAGGGTGCCCAATTTTTGACTTCCCTGGCCACACTGGAAGAATTGTCATCTTAGGCCACACATAAAATACACTAACGATATCTGATGAGCTTAAAAAAAAAAATCTCAAAAATGTCTTATACTGTTTTAAGAAAGTTTACAAATTTGTGTTGGGTCTCATTTAAAGCCATCGTGGGCAGGCTGCAGGTGGGACAAGCTTGGAGTAGACATTAGAGTGAATGACATATCACAAGAAATCAAGAAACATGACCTCCTAGGCTGGGCGTGGTGACTCCCGCCTATAATCCCAGCACTTTGGGAGGCCAAGGAAGGCAGATCACAAGGTCAGGAGATCAAGATCATCCTGGCCAACATGATGAAACCCCATGTCTACTAAAAATACAAAAATTAGCTGGTCGTGGTGGCGCACATTTGTAGTCCCAGCTACTTGGGAGGCTGAAGCAGGAGAATCGCTTGAAAAGGGGAGGCAGAGGTTGCAGGTGAGCCAAGATCCGCCACTGCACTCCAGCCTCCAACCGAGCAAGAGTCTGTCTCAAAAAAAAAAAAACCATATAAAAAAACATGACCTCCTTAGTGGTTCCCAGATAACATATCATCATTGCAATGCCTTTTCAGTCCCATCTGCTGTGTGTGGCTGCCCTCTATTGGATAGTTGACTTCCACAGTCTTTATCTGGAAAATACCCAAGTTCCAGTTTCACTTTTCTTGAATGTTTTTAGTTTACCTGGTACCTATTTATCACTTACTCTGAACACACTTAAGTAACAGCATGACTCCTAAAGGATAGGTTTCACGAGCATGCAAAGTGCTTCTATTTATACTTCAGTAGGATTTATCTTCTAATGTGAGAAGCATGGACGAATATGGTTATGACTATCATGTGGTTTTTTTAAACCAGTATTTTCTAAGATTTGAAAATAGCTCCAGAAAATCTGTCAGTGGAAGTAAATACATACTTTTTTGCATCATTTTTTCACATGGGCATTTCAGTAATTATGTTAAGACGGTCTTGAGTCTATGAGGTTTTTTTTTTGAGACGAAGTTTCACTCTTGTTACCCAGGCTGGAGTGCAATGG